TCCCTACTGGACTGTTAGCTTAGCCACCTGTAGCTCGGCTCAGGCATCAAGAGTTAACAGCCAGAGTAATAAAAAAAAAAAAAAAAGCTCCTTTCTCGTTGGGCTGTTTGAAAAGCACTTCATGCAACACTTCTGCCTGTCAGATCCCCCCTGCTGACCCCGGGCTGACCCCTCCCACGCTGGGAGGGTGGTTCCACTCCGCTCCAGAGCCAGGTCATGCTGGGTCTGGACCACAGATATCAGAGTCACAGCAAGTCTTTGGCTCTCGTTCAACTATTTGAATTAAACATTCTGCGACACTTGATTTCTTTTGGCTCCACTTCAAGGCAAACGGAATCAAACACACCCCTCCGGTTACCTGCTGACTGCTCAGCTTCACCCAGCCATCCACCCTGACTGGTGTTCTGTCGTGTCCAGTCTGCGTTGTTGTTGGCTGTCGTTAACGCTTTACTTGGTCTCCACCTGTCTGTCCTGCTCTTTAGATTCTTTAGAGTTTTGTTGAGGACATTAATGTTGACCTGTTGTTTCTGTGTTATTTTGCTGCCAGACTGACGTGATGCACCAGAGTGTGTTTGAGCTGATCCACACTGAAGACCAGCAGGAGTTCAGGAGGAACCTCCACTGGGCCCTCAACCCCCCCATCAGCCTCGGACCCCCCACAGATCCCCCAGGTCTGTTTCCTCGAGACAAACCCAACTCAGTTCAACCCTATCTCCAGCTACAGCTTTGAGAATCCTATATAGACTAGAACTTATTTATGATGTTATGGTGCTCTGGTTGGATATTGTGCCAACGTTGTGACGTTTTGCTGCTTTAGGCACATTTTAGGTTTAAAGTTCTCCTCCATGTTAGCTGGCTAAGCAGTAAACTAACCGCTATGGAGACCCAGCAGGGCAGCAGGCTACATTAAAGCACTGGTAGGTTGTATTTTTTGGCATCGTTGGACAGAAAATCCACAGTATATTGTACTTTAAGTGGTAAGAGAAGAAAGTAGACCTCTACACTTCCTCCTGACTCATTTTCAGCCTTTAGAAAATGTAGCAGGTGACGGGAAGCCTTGTGATTTCACCTTTAGCTTTGACTGCAGCCACCACCAAAATTGGCACACAATCATAAAATAAAGAAATTAACATAACAGTAAACACTGAGTGTGGCTTAACTCCACATTTTAATTCATCAATTAACGCTGATACAGACATTTTGAAAACAAATGCTTTCCTCTGCGACTGGGCCTTATTTTTGAGATACTTTCAATGATAAAGATTTATAGAAATGTTGGTTTATATATATACACCCATGGGGACTTCAACATGCACATGCCCGTTGCTACTTTATCTCATGAGCATGTGCCTGAAAAACCACAACAAAGACCAATATATGTGCCAGTTTCTTTACGTTATAACCCAACTTGCACACAAAAGCCTCTGTTGTGCCCGATACTACCTGCTTCACAACATCCAGTTTTCAGAACTGATTAAATTAAAAATGACAGCATGCTCCTCTCTGATGTCTGACATCCTGTTGACTGATCCAGCATGGTTATTCCTGCATTTGTAGTCATGTTTCTCATGCGTGGGGGGATATGTTGTGAAACACTGGCCATGTGGACAGAGAGGGGGAAGATACCTGTGTGGAAAAATACCTATATGAATGTGAACCAAACCTAAATGTCACGGCCGGCATAAATCAGACGTACACTAAGGAAGCTGTATGTAAATGATTCAAGAACAGTGGGAGGGCATAGGGCAGCGAAATATGTTGTTATTATGAAGAATTCAAAGGTTGAAGTGATTGTTTATTTTCATGGAAACAACCGTAAAACTCTGGAGACAAACAGAGAGGTGGATGCCGACATGTTCTCCTCTCTGAGCGATCAGAGGTGACCTTTGACTGAAGCCTCCTGAGAGATGTTGGAACACAGCACACGTATGGAACAGCAGCAGAGAGGAGGACACATAAGCAGCTCACACAAACTCACAGATGCTTTCACCAGCGTACACATGCTCTGACTGTACATACAGCACACCCGTACGTTTACACACTTGTCATTTTGAATTAGCGAAGGGTCGGCTGCCGAGAGGTCACCAACAAAGAGGGCGAGACCAGTTCATCCGTGTGGGACGTGTCATAGGCAAAGGCAAAGAAAAACAACCCAAATCAGATTTTAAAAATAAAGATTTAAAGATAAATATAAATACTGAATAACACAGTTAAAGTTTAAACCTGAATTTATACAATGCTT